ACACTAGAAAAAGCAATAACCATTGCTACCCAGATTGAGTCAGCTACAGCTGAAGCCAAAATAATGAGCATGGATACAGGAGGCACAGTCCGGGCTGTGACTCCTTTGCAGAAAAGTTCACCAGTGCTGCAGACAAACAATTACAAGAGGAAAACTAATGAAAAACCACCAAATCAGCAAATTCAAAATACAGTAGAAGCATGTTTTCACTGTGGATCCCCGCAACATCTTGCAAGCTACACAGGATGTCCGGTAAAAGTAGCTCAGTGCAATCATTGCAAAAAGATTGGGCATTTTGCTAAAGTATGTCGCAGCAGCCAGTTCCATCAACAGGTACATGCAGTTACAATACTAGATGTTACTGTGCTGCGCGTGGACAAAATCACTACTGCACATATTCCAGAACAAATAAAGTGCATGGTAAACGTTTCAGCCATACCCTCAGGCAAATCCCACACTCTATTCAGCTAATGTTGGACACTGGCTCAGCAGTATCTACACTACCTGATTCCATCTATTTGCATTACTTTAAAGATGTGCCTCTTACTGAACCCAAGCTTCACTTGGTGTGTTATTTGAAAAACCATATTCCAGTACATGGCTGCCTGCCAGCAATAGTTACTTTTGGTGATTGCTGTGTAATTGCAGAGTTCTACATTGTCCACAAAGGCACTCCTAACCTTGGATTTATTGGCTGCTTTAAATCTTAGGGTAGTTAATGGATGAATTGATCTTGCTCAGCAAAGCACTCTTGCGGTACACAGACAAGTTTCAGCTGGGACCCAACACCAGCTTGAGGAGAAACTCAGCTGTGCTTATGGGTTTCTGCATAAAGTTAAAATGTGGAATAATGTGATGCCTGTATGACAGAAATTACAGCACTTACCATTTTCAGTCAGGGAAGCTGTTTCAGAGAAACTTAGAAAACTTGTTCAAGAGGACATTATTGAAGAGATTAACTCCTCGGAATGGGTTTCACCTTTAGTAGTGACGCAGAAGAAGAGTGGAGGCATTCGCCTTTGTGAGGACTTAAGGGAGCCAAATAAAGCATTGTGACTGTCAGCCATCCTCTTCCTCAAATCGAAGAAGTATTTGCAGAACTCCATGGAGCAAAGATGTTTTCTACTCTTGATCTGCAGTGCACATACCACCAGGTTATGTGGCATGAAGATAGCAGAGACCTCACAGCATTTATTACACGAGGGACTATTCCGTTTTAAACGTGTTCCATACGGTCTCGCATCAGCCCCAAGTGCCTTCCAAAAAAATGATGTCATTGATTTTGAAGAATCAACATGGAGTTCAGTGCTATTTGGATGATATTATGGTGTTTAGAAATACTTTGGAGGAGCATGACAGTAATCTGCAATCTGTACTAAACTGCATCAGCAAAGCAGGCCTCAAGCTCAATAGGTCCAAATGCAAATTTAGACAAACTGAACTCTCCTTTCTGGGGCATACAACTTCACAGGCTGGCCTAAAACCTGATCCGGCTCATATCCTGGCAATTTCAAATGCTCCTCCTACAACAGATTTGCAAACCTTATGTTCCTTCTTGGGTCTTACCTCCTGATATGCCAAATTTTCATTCCCAATTATACTTCTGTCCTTGAACCATTACGAGAATTACTATGGGGAAGTTTAACCTTAGTGTGGACAACAGATGCACAAGCTAGTTTTGAAATGGTGAAAGACTTGATTGTACATAGTCCAGTACTTGCACTATTCAGTCCTGCATTGCCCACAATTGTAACTACTGATGCTTCTGATTATGGACTTGGGGCTGTCGTCATACAACTTCATGAGGACAACAAAGAGAGCACTGTTGCATTTGCTTCAAGGACACTAAGTAATCCTGAGAGAAAATATTCTACAGTCAAAAACGAAGCACTTGCTTGTGTCTGGGTTACTGAAAAATGGAGAACTTACCTGTGGGGCTGCACGTTCAAGTTGCGCACAGACCACAGCCCTTTGATGACGTTGCTCGCCACGAAAGGACTGGGAAGAGCAGGATATCGTATTGCTAGGTGGTCTGCAAGACCACTCTCTTTCAATTATGAACTGGAATATGTCTGGAAACCAAAATGTGATAGCTGATTGCCTTTCTCGCCTGCCTTTGCCTTCACCAGATTATCCACCAGAGGATGAGGATGTAGTGGTTGCGCTTATTACAAGCACTCTTACTGCAGTTACAAGAGAACAATTTCAAGCTGCTTGTTCAGCATGTCCAATTCAACAAAAACTACAGGATTTTCTGACAAAGAGATGGCCCACTATCCCCAAAAACCTTGACCCAGTTTTGCGGCCTTATTTTAGAGTTCGGGATGAACTTTCTTAGCTCGATGGCTGTGTGCTATGAGGTACACACCGGCAACTTGTGCCAGAAGAATTACAGTAAAAATTCATACACCAGGCACACGACACTCATCAAGGAATTGTCAGAACCAAACAACGACCACAGGATCTGTATTGGTGGCCAGGGATGGACTCTCAAACTGAAGCACTCATAAAATCCTGCGTCACTTACCAAATGCATGATTAGACAGCAGTGACATGTACCCCTCCATTACAGCCTGTTCCTCTTCCTGAATCTGCATGGGAAAAAGTGGCGATTGACATTATAGGACCCTTTGATACTGCTCCAATTGACTGTCGTTATGCCATCACCTTAATAGACTATTTCAGTAAATGGCCTGAGGTAGCATTTACATTGCAAATCTCTTCTGCTACTTGATTATCATACACATTGTAAGAAAAGTGATCACTTTAGATAAGCTCTTACCAGCAGGAGAGTGGGGTGGGGGGAGAGAAAACCTTTTTGTAGTGGTAAACACCCATTTTTTCATGGTTTGTGTGTATAAAAAGATCTTCTGTACTTTCCACAGTATGCATCCGATGAAGTGAGCTGTAGCTCACAAAAGCTTATGCTCAAATAAATTGGTTAGTCTCTAAGGTGCCACAAGTCCTCCTTTTCTTCTGCTACAGTAATTAAGTTCCTCTCTTCAGTTTTTAGCAGGGAAGGTAACCCCAAAGAACTGGTTCCAGATAATGGTAGTCAATTTACTTCCCTGGAATTTGAAACTTTTCTAGTAGAGAGGAACATTTTACACAGGTCATCCCTATACTACCCTCAAGCCTATGGGGAAACTGAATGGTTTAACAGAAGTTTGAAAGAGAGTTTGCAAACGGCTAATTGTGGATAACCTTCACTACTGATTTCTTGCAAGCATACTGGGCTACACGACACGCCACAACGCAAAGATCACCCGCAGAGTTACTGCACGGGAAACAGATGAATACGAAACTGAACATTGCTGGATTGTTAAAGGCATGACCTGAGGCCCCAACCGAGGATGATGTGAGAAAAACAGTTGAACAGAACCAAGCAAAGTATAAGGCTTTCACAGACAAGCGGTGTGGTGCTAAGGAACCAAAGTTTCAGTGTTGTTCCTTTGCTAGAATACGAAAACCTGGAACTTTACGCAAAGGGGACCATAAATTCACAGCTCCTCTTAAAATCATAGAGAAGAAGGGACCTTACACCTATCGACTTTCTGACGGGAGAGTATGAAAGTCTTGCACCTGTCTATGCATCAAGAGGAGATCATACAAACCCAGTCTGCATTGGATGACTTCACCGTAGTATCAACACAAGACAGTGCCCTGGAACCGGGGCTTGAGAGACGGCCTGTCATACCCAGACGACCACCTGGACTAGTCTAGTCTGGACTAGAGACTATGTTATGTAGTATCTATAGTGTTTTTAGTGTAATAATTCTGTCTACAGTCTAGTGTTTTGTTTCCTATTTGTTCCTAGGGTTAGAACAACGTTTATTATAATTAGGAGAGTTTCTTAAGAGAGGAGGGAATGTGGTGTTTAGATGTTGCTACAGCGCTCCCTCACACCCCAGATGTGTTCGTCCCTAAACCTTTGCCAAGGACAGCTGTGGGGAGCTTAAGTAGGGTATTTACATGCAGCGCCACCTGATGGCTGAACAGTATAATGCAGATTAGGAACCATTGTACCCGTGGCCAGCCCCCCCCCCCAGTCTTCCCCACCCAGCTATTCCTGCCCCAGACACCGCACAGCCTCCCGGGTCACAGTGTGGCGCGTGTCCGTCCCCCCCCAGCTCCTCCCACCCGGGGTCACAGTGCCACGTGTGTCTCCCCCCCCAGGCCCAAGGTCACAGTCGCGTGTCCGTCCCCCCCACTCCTCCCGCCCGGATCACAGTGCGCGCGAATCCCCCCAGCTCCTCCCGCCCGGGGTCACAGTGGCGCGAATCCCCCCCAGCTCCTCCCGCCCGGGGTCACAGTGCGGCGCGAATCCCCCCCAGCTCCTCCCGCCCGGGGTCACAGTGCGGCGCGAATCCCCCCCCAGCTCCTCCCGCCCGGGGTCACAGTGCGGCGCGAATCCCCCCCCCCAGCTCCTCCCGCCCGGGATCACAGTGCGGCGCGAATCCCCCCCCAGCTCCTCCCGCCCGGGGTCACAGTGCGGCGCGAATCCCCCCCCAGCTCCTCCCGCCCGGGGTCACAGTGCGGCTCCTCCCCCGTCTCGTCGGTCCAGGCGCACTCGCAGGTAATAAGCCCGCGAGCTCAGTGAGAGTCCCGCCCCCTCCCGCGACCACGTTTTTCGTCGCTGGGACCCGCCTCTGTTGCCTTTCCTCACTGCCCCGCCTCTTGGTCGCAGCAGCCAATCACGACTGTGGGCAGCAGCCAGGGGTCACGAGGAGGGCGGCGCTAAGGAGCTACTCCCGCCACCTCTCCTCGCTGCCCACCCCCCGGGAAGTGGGCTCTGGTCAGCTCTGCCTGGGAGTAAAGAGCCGCTCCCCTCCCGGGCCTGGACGGAACCCAGCATGCCGCGCGGCCGCGCCTCACTGCCCACAGCTTTGATCTGATTGCTGATTCGCTAGTAGGGCCACGGGTGGCGCTGCAGCGCCCGCCTCCTGGGAATGGAATTGCTCGGATTGGGTGATGGCTGTTGCATTGGTGTCACACGCCGTGGTCTGATTGGCTGGATGCGGACAGTGGGCTCGGTGATCGGCTGTTTCAGGTGTGGCTCCGCCCCGCAGCTCTGTGATAGGTCAGCGCACACAGGGGGGTTAGCCTCTCTCTCGTCGCGGCTCCGTGTGGTGATGGCGGCTCTGACGGGGAGCGCGGGCGCGGCGGGGCTGCTGCCCTCCCTCTCGGTGCCCGGCGTGACCGAGCTGAAGCCGCTGAGCCGCTACGAGGCCATGCGGCTCGGGCCCGGCTGGAGCCACTCGTGCCACGCCATGCTGTACGCGCCCAACCCGGGCATGCTCTTCGGGCGCATCCCGCTGCGCTACGCCGTGCTGGTCAGCGGGGCCTGGGGCGGGCCTCGGGCGGGTTCCATCGGGCGGGGCCTGGGGTCCGGTTGGGGGCTGGGGCCTAGGTCAGGTCCGGTTGGGCGAGGTGGGGAGCCGGGCCTGGGGCCGGGTTTGGGGTTTCGGGTGGGGTCGGGATCGGGGCCGGTTGGGCGAGGGCTGGGGGCGGGAGTCGGGAGTGGTTGGGTGGCGATTGGGGCCCGCGGTGGGGAGTGGGGAGCCGGCCTTCAGGGTGCGGGAACGCCATGAGTCCCCTTGGCGGGATGGAGAGCTGGGACCCCCGCCCAGGGCTAGGGCTGAGGCCTTCCCCGCGCTACTGCACCAACTCCCTAGGGTGGCTGCCTGTCGCTGCTCGAGCACAGATCTGCTAGTTCTACCCTGCCTGGCCCTGCCTCGCCCTAGCAGGGCGTGAGCAGCCGGCCCGAGGACAGTGGCTAACCTTCTTCCCCTACACACCACTAGCCCTCCCAGCTCATGCTGCGCGTTGAGCGGGGTCTCCCTAGGCCAGTGGATTCTATGCTGGCAGTTGTTGCAGAATAGGCCCTTTAATCCATAGAGAGAGGGTGTGTGTGTGTGCGTGTGCGCGCATGTGTCTCTACCTATAGTTGTAAGGCCCTTATGGCTTTGCAGACGTGAACTTCTGCAATGCTGTCTGCCTGAGTTTGCAGACGGGGTGTTCCATTGCCTCTGCTGTCGCACAGGATTTTGCTGAGCAAGAACAAAGGGAACTGAACAAGTCTGGCTGGTTTTGCTGTTGCTCTCCACAGTGCTGTAAGTGACATTGAAACTGACAAGAGTCATGTCCGTTTCACTCTGCTGCACCTTGGGAAGGGCTAAGCAGAGCCCAGAGGTAGTCACCCAGAAGGATTCAAACCCAGATGTAGGGGAGGGGCAGAGCAGCAGAAATGCCCCCTTCATAGCAGCCTGCAGAGGAGAGATCCATCTCCCTTCCTGCAGGCAGAAAGGCTGGAGCTTCAGATTTTTCAACCATCCACTATCTGAGGCTGATCCAAAACGTGGAGCTCCAAAACTGGCATGCCACTCCTGGACAGTAGCTAGGAGGTGGGGACTGAATGTGCCCCTTGAGCTCACCAGTGGCTGTGTCTTTTCTGTGTATCTCTGGTTGGTAGGCTTGGTCCTCTGGCTGCGATGTGTCTGGTGCACTTGTAAAGACTTGATGCTGGCTGCTTGCAGGTCACCTGACTCCAACAGTGGCACGAGGCTGGATGGGTTTCCCTTTTAGGCTCTTCATATGGTGCAGTACTGATGTGTCAGGATTCCCCAGTACTGTTTTGTCATTCTGTGGGTATCTCATAAGAAGGCGACCCGCTTGAGGCTCAGCTTCATCCTGCAGAGAAGTAGGAATGGGCTTTCTGGGGGCACCACTAAGCTAAAATTGGAGGGGGTAGGCAAAATGGACAGTATCAAACTGTTCAAATACCAAGGATTTTCTGCTAAAAATGATCACAGTGAAAGAGCTGTTTGGCCTTCAGCACTTATTTCCTAGTGAGATGAGTGGGGCAGTTCATGCCTCTCAGCTGCAAAAACTGTCTGACAGCCCAGCACTGGGTCAGGTTCTAGGTTTTCCTTCACAAAGGCAATTTAAAAAGAAACTAATATTGTGCCAAAGCAAGTGGGGCAATGGAAGAGGGGTACAATAAAGCCTCAAACCTCTCTGATTAGGGTACAGACTGTCTTGTGCCTCACCTGCTTTAGCCCCTTTGTCTTGGAGAGGTTTCCTGTGGTGGTAAGTGTCCAGCTCTTGGCTGGGGGTACCCTCTCCTCTCCCACAGGGTCCCTGGGGCTATGTGCTGTGCCCCATTAACATAATGCGCCTCTATTGCAGATGCAGATGCGATTTGATGGACTACTGGGCTTTCCTGGGGGGTTCGTGGATCGCCGTTACTGGTCCCTGGAGGATGGTCTGAATCGGGTGCTGGGCTTGGGTTTGGGCTGTGTGCGCCTGACGGAAGCTGATTATCTGTGCTCGCACCTGACAGAGGGGCCACATCGCGTGGTGGCGCACTTCTACGCCAGGCAGCTGACCCTGGAGGAGCTGCACACCATCGAGATCTGCGCGGTGCATTCCCGAGACCACGGGCTGGAGGTGGGGTATTCGGGGGGGTGTCTGGAAGCTCTGAGACTTCACATCATCGGGGAATGAAGCTTCCCTCACTAGGCCTGCTGGGCTGCTATCCATTGCAGCTGGGCGGGGGAATGCACCGCATTTAACAGCTACTAGTGGCAACTGGCAAGTGCTACGCACTGCCACATGGCAATCCTAGTTGTGAGCCCTGGCCTTTCACTGCGGAGCTGGCAGGAATGCGGTAGCATAGGGAGGGCTTTGTGCTGCACTTTGAAGGGGAGTCCTGTTTGCTTGTCAGTCATAAAGATGGTGCCTCTGACATGCGGGTTGGGTGAACTTCAAGTCACCCTCAGCTCTGGTGAGCATCACGCGAGGTCTGGATGTGTTGTGTCTGACTGGAACTGTGATCTTCTGTGTGGCAGAGCATTGCTTTAATCAACAAGGTATTGGGCCCAGCTTGGATTGCACACAAGTTCGTAAGAAGTCAGAGAAAGAGGCATGAGTTTCTTTCTGGGGAATCTGGTGCTACAGCATTCTCTGGCAGGGTTGGCGAGCTTGTGCCAGGTCATCTAATGCCCCTGATGTAGAACACAGATGGTGGAGGACCCTTTGTACAGCCTGGGTGCGATGCTGTGATCTGCCAGGAGTGATGCTGCGTGTGCACTAAATGTGACCCTGGGTTGTGGCACCTGTTGAGGGGGACATGGAGCCACAGCACTCTTGCAGAGTGGTATGAAGGGCATGGCCTAGACCCAGAACATAGATCATCCCTGGGGGCAGTTGGTGGTACACCTGGGATGTGGTGGTGGGGAGTGGTATGGAACATGGGGTAGGGAAAGGTGGGGTGGTAAGCTGTGGTCCTTATACTGGGGGATGGGATAGAGCAAAGGGTAAGGTGTGGTACGCTGGAGGGAAGAAGTGGTGGTGTTTTGGGTTGGTTGGTGGAATGGGTAAGTAGGGTGGGTGGTCAGACTGGGGCTAGGGTGCTTGTGCAGAGGGTATGTGGGGCATCACCTGGGTTTGGTATGGAGTAATGGGCAGGGGTGTGGTATTCATGCTGGGGGTTGGGGTGTTGGATGTGGCACCTGTGCTCATCCTGGGGGAATAAGAGGGGCTGGTATGAGGAGGGCATATGTGGTCTGGGAGCTAGGATGTGGTCTGGGGAGGCATGGCACCTGCAGATAAGCTGGTGCTCATCCTGCATGGATCATGGTGGCTGGTGGGGCTTGCACTGAGGGTGGGCTGAAAGTGTAATTTGTTGTTACTGAATTGTGTGTGCTGTTGCAGGTGATGGGAATGGTCCGTGTCCCCTTGTACACCCAGAAGGACCGCATGGGCGGACTGCCAAACTTCCTGGGGAACTCCTTCATCGGGACTGCTAAATTCCAGCTGCTCTTTGCCCTGAAGGTTTTGAATATGGTGCCTGAGGAGAAGCTGGCAGAAGCAGTGGCTGCCACCCAGAAGCAAAAAAAGCCTGCAGCTGAGCCGGCTGCTGTGACGGCCAGTGTGACGGCTGCTGTGACGGCCAGTGTGACGGCTGCTGTGACGGCCAATCAGATGGTGGCTAAACCAGCAAATGAGCTGGCAAATCGGCCTTTAGCTGTGTCAGTGGCTGAACCAGCAGCAAAGCCAGCAGCTGAGTCAGCAGCAGAGCCTGTGACTGAGCCAGCGGCTGAGTCTATGGCTGAGTGATGAATTTTTTGTTTGACTTGGTTAATAATGGGTAAAGAGACTTTCTTCTTACTTTCCAGACAGTCACTGGCTGCAAATGCTGCCCATTTGACTCCACCTCCGTGCTCCTCAGGTGGAATGGGATTAGATTTGCCTGAAGCAATGGAAAGCTATATTTTGTAAGGCCCATACACAGTACCAAGCTTTCCAGATCTCTCTTAACTGTCCCCCTCTGGAGTCCATGTGCTTACCTGAGGACTCTCTTAGAATGCTTTAATTTACAGGGATGCTCTGCTCCATTCAGGTCCCAGCTTGGGTATTGTTTTAATGAACTGAAATGTTACTTTTAAAATTGTTCCAAGCAGGGTTTTTAGCCCCCTGCTGCAGTATTGTGAACCCATCACAGCTGTGTTGGGGGGGTGGGGGTGGGGGGAAATAAGTGAACCCAACTGAAGAGAGGCAAGTCTGCCAGCTCTAGCTCCATGCCATGTGCAGAAATGAAACTGCCCTCCTGTAGGAACAGTCCACGGATGCTCCTCGTTTTCCCAGGTTTCGTGACTTTGGTATCACATGGAAGTGTTTACAGTGGCAGCTTACCTGGCTAGTGGCAGTTCCCAGGTGGCTTAGTTGTTGGTGTCCCTGTGGGGTGCAGAAAGGTAGTTTGTGGCTTTGCGTATGGTGAGTTGGGGGAGCAGGAAAATTAAATAAATGGCTTTGCTGTACTTCTTCGCACTTGAGATCTTTTCTTTCTTGTAATGAAAACTGGGGAGCAAAGCTATTTGAGTGGCTGTACGCCTTGGTGTCTGCATCTGTGTGGAATGGAGCAGCCAGCACTTGATTGCTGGGAGCTTCCATTTGCTGAGTTGCCAGACTCATAAGAGGTTAGTAACTTTTGATTTTGTTGTAGGGTGATCCTGGGCTTTGTGTCCCCTCTGACTACAGTAATAGCACTTAACTGGTTCCTTTCCTTTCTCCACTGGACTAGCCATTTTCAGTTTACCCTTATATTTCTCACCCCCTTTTCCTTTAGTCCACCCTGGCCTACAGTCTTTGTTCCCTTATTCACTTCAAACTCTTAGGTGGAACTGGAGCAGTCCTTATTTGGAAATCCACCAGGCATCACCACTATAGGTCTGCCAACATCGCCATGTCTGTGCTGGACTGTGGTTGCCACTCTTGGACCTACATATTGAATTCCTTCCCCAATATGGTTAGGAACTGTTCCCAGGTCTCCTCTTTGGCTGCAGCCAGTGCCTGTGGTCTCAGTCTCGGGGGTGGGGGAGGGAGAGATGAGTGTCTAGAGTTCTCAGTGGCCATGAACCACTGTCAATGTCTCGTAATTTGGTATTTTCAAAGAATTGCCTTCTTCACTTCTGCATAATCATTTACCAAATCCTTGCTGACGGCACGAGTTGCATCCAGAGCTTTCCCTGACAACAGGGGAACCAAACAGATGGCCCCTTTCTCCTCCTGTAGTCAGGCATGTTATTTCCATTCATTCACATCTGGCTCTGTGTTTTCCTGCTCAACAGATGAGATAATTTCAGCTCTATGAACTATCCTCCAGCAGATCCTCTGCAGCCCAATCTTGCCCTACCAAGGGTCATAGGGTGGAGCCTGATGCTGCCATGTCTGTGTTTCAGGTACTCCTACCAAGCTGTTTGCTTTGGTCACTGAACAATCATTCTGAGCCAAGGGAGCTCTCTAAACTGAGCCTGTAGCTCTCCACTGTGGGCCTGTCTCTGTATCCCTCTTCTCCTGACAGCTCAGATTGCTGTAACAGGATGCTCAAGGCAGGAATAGATTCCTTGATGCTTGGTATGGTGTTCTCCTTCTAAGATTGGCCAGTACCTCACTTTCTTCCCATTAATCCTCTTCTCCACTCCCTCTTTCTCCAGCCCCCTCTGCCTCGGAGTGGAATGAGTTTTCTCTAGCTTGAGAGCCAGAGTCTGACCCCAGAGTCATCTCTGACATCTTGTCTCCATCTCCTGGTTTGTGCCCCACCAGGACATCCCACAGCTCACACCAAATGTCACCAAGTTATTATCTGGTGGGCCTGATGAGCTGACCAACCCCTCCATTTGTTCCAGTTTCTACTCGGGCCTTGGACCCCCTGTCTCCTTGCCCAGTAAGTTCTTGTCCCACCTAGCCAGACTCTTCTCCCTCCTCCTGGTCTCCTTGTCCAGTTGATGCTAGTTCCCTCCAACTCCCTACTCTGCCTCCTGCCTCATATTCTCCATTCCCCCTGGCTTCTCATTCAGTCTGTATCCTTCATGCTTCCCCAGCTCCTTGTGCCAGCCACTCAGTACTCCCCCTGCATCTGGCTCCTTGTCAGCTCCATCTCCCCCCATACTCTGCTGGTTCCCAGGTTCCGCATCTGATCAGTTCCCTCCTCTGCCCTACCCACTGGCTCCATGTCCCTCCTCCCTGACACCCAGCCTCCACATTCAGTCTCTGCTCCCAGGCTCCTTGTTCCATCTAATCCCCCCAGCCCTCTTCTACAGCGCCTTATGTCTGCTAGTCACTTCAGTGTTTGAAGGGGATGGCTTTGTCCTTTACTGTTCCTGATCGCCAGTGAGAGCGGGCAGGGGATGGCACCTAGCACACAGGAAAGACAGCTTCTCTGCTCCCTAGCCCCATTGCAGCCCTGGGCTGGAGCATGCTCAGTGGGGCTGTAGGGTTGGTGCATGCAGTCAGGTTGACGTGGGGTGAGGTGACGTGGGGGAAGAGAACATAAAAACAGTTTTTAGAGACTTCTTTCCAGGGTTGGTGCTAGATACTAGACAAAGTGAGTCACATTTTATTGGATCTACTTCTCTGGAGATTTTTGGAGTTAAACTTTAGCACCCCCAGCCCTTCCCCTGCAGCCTCAGCACAGCAAGCAAGCTAGCTCCTGCTGGGTGGTGTGGCTGCCAGATATGCTGCTTTGAGTGGCATGGTATTGGGGTGGGGGTTGGATAAGGGGCAGAGGGTCCTGGGGGGCAGTCAGATGGGGCAGAGGTTTGGGGGGTGGTGGTCAGGAGATGGGTTGGATAAGTGTGGGGAGTCCCAGGGGGCCTGGTAAGGGTGTGGATGGGGTCAGGGAGGGGGTGGTCAGGGGTTCTGAGGGGGGCAGGAAGTGTGTGTGGGGGGGGGGAAGGGGAGGCTGTTGAGGAGGCACAACCTTCCCTACCTAGCCCTCCATACAGTTTTGCAACCCTGCTGTGGCCCTTGGGCCAAAAAGTTTGCCCACCCCTGCTCTAGCAAGTCTTCACAAAGCATAGGCAAGCTCATTTTTTGAAAGGCTTAAGTGGCCAACTGTGGGTGGATTTTCAGACAAAGACACATGCCTGACATGAAGGCCTATGCCTCTTGCATGTCCCTGTTCCACAAAAAAAATCTGTTTTCTCATATTGACAAAATGTCTTGCCCCTTGCCTGCTTTTGAGAGAGAGCTGGAATTTAAAAAAAGTCAGCTAGAGGCAGACAACCAGCATGGACATGTGGAGTAGTTAATAGTTGCCCTAGAGAGATGTTAACCATCTCTGCTAGAGCCTGTCCACTCCATTGATGGGTCCACTGTTATTGGCAGGAGAGGTGCTAGGTCCAGCTCCTGCTCCCCTGACATCACTGCAGGGGCCCTTAGCTAGATTGCCCTGGAGCCTGGGGAAAGAGGTCAGGTTAGCCTTAAAAGTCTTACCTCAACCCAGCAAAGATGTATGTAGTTTCAGGGAAGTCCCTGTTAACCTCTTTCACAATAGCAATCCTGGACATTCTCTGCAACATGTGTCTCATCCCAATGCACTAGTGATAGCGGTTACCCCTCTGTCTATCCTTGTAACCTGCCAGATCCATTGCTATGGTTGCTTAATGCCAATGCTATGGGGCTAGGGTAACTGGCAGCCAGCAGCGCTGCACTTAGGATCTGGTTAGTTCAGACAGATTGCTCTGGTAAGGCTGCACTGGAGATCAGTGACAGCTATCATGGGGCTGAAATAGAGGAAGAAGCCACCTCCCATCACACTTGTGCTGGTTGGGTAGTCAGCAAGGCTCTGCTAGGTCCTTTAAGGCTGTGAGCTCTGATGAAAGGACCAGAGAAGATGGGAAGGTCTTGAGATAAAGTGACATCAAGTATTGCATCAGCCAGCCCCCATGGAGCTGGAGAGAGCCAATGCTCAGGTTATACTTGCCCAGGAAGGGGGGTAGTGTGACTTCCACATACGATGCCATTTCCCCCCTTCAGCTACGTAGGGGGGGAGAGGCAAAAATAGGAGCAGCACCAAGGGATGTGCTTGGATCAGCAGCAGTGAGATGCTTGTCAGTACAACCCCCTTCATGCAGCCATCCAGAAAGTGTGTTTAAGGGGGACAAGGGGCAAGAAGAGGGTGAACTATGAATCTTACTGACCCCCAGGAGAAAGACCTGCTCATAAAATGATGCAAATGGACCTGATGATGAGACAGAAGAGCTGCTACGCAGACAGCCCTGACAGTGCCCAGAACACTACCAGGTGCCACTGTCAATGGGAAGTAGTGCAAGTCACTTCAACCAAAATTCATAGGTGTGCAGGATTGTGCTGACTCTGGGCAGGGCTCTCCCCAGCCACTTTCTGAAAGGAAATGGCTGTTCCAGCAATGGGGTCACTGAAGCCCCTCAGCAATGCTCTCTGCTAGGGCTGACTGGGCCAAAGCTTGTCTGGGAGGATGGCCCAGCTAACTCACCCAGCACTCTAAGGAGAACAGGTGCTTTTTGACTTTGGCACCTGTGTTTATGGAGCACACTGCAGCATGGTTGCCCTTGGCAAGAGCAGCAGTTTAAATCCAGACTTGTACTTGAAAACAAGCAGGAGAATCACAAAAGAAAAAAATCATTTTAATTAAAGACATTTAGAGAGACAGGCTGACTGTGGCAGCAATATGCTCTTCAATAAATAACAGGGCAGGAGGGGTGGTGTGACTGACAAGCTGTTGCAATGAGGACAGAGTTCATAAAGGGGCATCGCAGGTAGGACAAGTAGCTTGTCTCCTCTTGCTGGAGCACTGGTAGTTAGCATGGACAACAGCTATGGGTACAAAAACAGTTGGAAGAGTTGAAACCCAGACCCATGAGAAAAAACATTCTGTATTGTACAGCTATTTCAGAGAGATAGTAAAGTGCAAGGAACACAAACCCCATGCACACTGAAGCATATTTAGCAACTAAATCCTCAAGCACAGGTGTACACACTTTAAAAAAATGAGCTACATGGGGGGGGGGGGAGAATACAAAACCAGTTACTGCAAATTAGGTTAAGATGCCTTGAGAGAAACCAAAGCCTCTCCCTCTGGATGTGAGGAAATGGAATCTGCCTGGAGCCACTAGATCAAGGGTCATTTACATTGGAAAATTCACAGTCCTAAATACTACAGTGTAGGATACATGATTGAAAGCTCAAACAGAGCACCTGGCAAAGTCTGCTTGGGCAGGGAGCTGGGCTTGAATAGGTGCCCCTGTAATTTCACAGCTGGGAGCCTCCATACAGCATTACCAGGAACAGTTTCAACTGACAAATCCTTTCAGCCAGAGGCCTTGGCCAAAGCAGATTGGCAATGGCTGCTCTGCCTGGGAAGATCTCACTGGCACAGAAGAGAGAGCTCAGGATTTTTCCCACTGGGGACCCAACTCATTTACAGGGGGAAGAACCAACAAGCCCCATCTAAAAACATGTTGAGAATAAAGCCATCTGTCACACAATGACTGTGAATGGCAAGGCCTCTCCAGGAAGGGTCTGTAATAGGAGTTCAAGCCAATCAGACCCTGTCCCTCTGAGTGCCTCTACGGCAGCCCCAAAACGGAAGGATTGTTGGTGATCTTACTGGCAACTAGAGAATCTGTTCCTCTGTGGCGCATGTTAATGCAGCAGCTGCACCAACAACAGACTGATCACTCCCTATTTTGGTTCCTGTGTGTACAAGAGCAGGCTAACTCAGCCATGTGGCCCTGCACTTCATTAGCACACACAAATTAAAAATGCAATACTAGGACATGTGCATGGGGATAGGACAAGGGAGTGAACAAGGAGGTTCCACAGGGTAACTTCCCCTCCCTAGGAAAAGCCCATCAGTCCTAGGATGCCCACATTCCCTCCACTTCCTGCACACAGAAGCTAGAGAGGCCCAACCAGGAGCAGTACAAGTCTTATGGCAGGCAGGAGGAGGCTAGATGGCACCCATTCCTAACTACACAGAAAGCAGGTTGCCAGTGAGAAGCAGATTCAGTCTATTACAGACATCTCTGGTCCCCTCACCCTCTTAGCTCCCATACCACCAACAGCACAGGTCCAACAGGGGAAGCAGGATGGCGTTTCCTGACTAGAATACAGATGGGCACTGAAGGGAGAGGAAATCTCGGGCTGCTGTAAATCAGCCAGAGTCTGGAGACCTGGGCTGGGCAGATCAGAGGGATGTACCCCACAAGGGCTGCAGCCCTTAACATCCCATGTGGCCCAGCAGCTGAGTGCATAATGAATACTGGGTTAGAACTTCTTTACACTGAAAACATTTGCTAAAAGTTTCTGTTGGATGATTAGGAAACAGTTCTTCCTCCCTCTCCCGCCCCCCATACAGAGCACACTGGTATCCATACCAGGCAGGTGGGCCAGGGAGACAAGAAAAACAAGGTGACAGGAGAACAAGGCTGACAAGTTCTCTGGGGAGGTGTCAGCCCATCCCAAGGAAACAGGCTTGGTTCAGAGTAGCCCTTTAAAAAAACCACTTCTAAGCAGCTTAACTGTCATGCTGGATCTAAGACATTTCAGTGTCAGGAGAGGACTGACATCTTGCCCAGCCTGCTGGGTGGGGTGGCCCTGGCTGCAAAGCACGGAGTGCACATACACATACAGAGATTCCATTCCTTCCTGGGAGACAACTTTGCAAGAGAAGGGCTCCCCAGCCAAAAGACCTGAAAGACGTAAGGTACATGCACAAAAATGAAGCAGAGCTGGTGGGGTAGGAGGGCTGATTCTCAGTCTGAATGGGTGAAGATCATCCCATTGCAGGACCTGGTGAGATCACTGCATGGCACTGGCTAGATCTCCCCTCCTCACAGAGAATGGGGGAAGTTTGCCCATAAAACTCTGGTCCCAGCCCATGCTGGTCAGTCACTGCCCTCTTTCTCAGGCAGGGGCTCTACCTGCCACACTGCACTGAATTAGACACACAATGACGACTGTGCAGCCCCAACACCAACCCATTCTCCAGCTTTCCCCAGAGGCCCTCTCCCTTCGAGTCATTAGCCTCCTTCAGCCCACATGATCTACACCAAGTGAAGCATCCATTTTGAAGCTCAGACATTTCCCCACTGCACAGCAGCAGTTTGTGCATCTGTACCAGCTCCACAAAAGGAATTTTCCTGCTAAAATCCCAGCTGTTCTTACGCATTATAGCTAGAATGCTTTGACTGAGAAACAGTCTCTTTTGTGATTAAACAATCTATTCCAGCAATATAACAAATGAAGCTGAGCATGTCCTGCTGAGCTGGGAAATGAACAGCACCTTCAACAATGATCCCCACTGCTGCCTCAAGGGAAGACACACAGTGGCATCCCAGGGCCTGATTGAAGAAACTTCCTGGGCTTGGCTCCAACCCACATGGGACAGGGTTAAGAGTGCAAGCTGTATCTGCAGCACACATTCTGTATTTAAAAAACGGGCTTCTCAGAGCCTCCTGAAGGGGGGTGCCAAGACTGCCCTTGGGATTCTGGCAGTGCCAGGCAGAGGCCCCTGACAAGACAGATGCTATTCTCACCCTATTTAGATAGCAGCTGGCATGGTAATAGCAAGGGGATAGTTATCCTCTACAGTTAGACATTGACTTGTCTTTAAGTGACATCTGGAGAGCTAGTTCTTCCAGCAGATTTAAGTTACTTTAAGCAACTTTGTGCTGTAAGACCCCATCACTCCCTGTCTCAATAGTAACCTCCTAGATACCTGCCACCCACACTGCCAGCAGCAGGAGACAACACACCAACTTTAGTTCAAGACTTCCTCTGCCAACTCCCAGTTTCAAAGTGGGTACATGAACAGTGGGGACAGGGGTGCAGAGCCAAGGGAGCACAGCCTCCGCCAGGGAAGAAGGGGCTTGTTGACCATTGCTGGAAGGAGGCCAGGCATTTACCAACAGTGTATGCTTTGCTCCTATTTGCTCCGTTCTAAATGCTCCCACTAGCAGAGCTGAGGGACAGCACTATTCTAATGTCCTGCTTGCACTCAGGTGCCACTCCTGTGGCTATGGGATCTTTTTGCACATTAGTTTAATACGTGGGGAGGGTCTGGGGCCTTCTGCCTATTGGGGAGGTCAATGTCTGGCAAGCTCCACATGGGGAGACAAGTGTCCTGCACAAGTCTTGTACAAACAAAGCAAGCATTTCACTATTGACAGTCACATTGCAGCCTCCTCAGGGACTTCAATACCAGACTCCTGGCAAAGACGCAGGGAGGCTGCCCATCGGCGCATCCCCTGCACATCTCTCATGGCCTGCAGTCTCTACAAACACAAGAGGGGCAGCAGCTAATTTACTTCAAAAGCAGCAATCTGTGCACAAATCTCATTCCTAGAGAGCCTGCGGGAGATTAACTTAGGTTCCAATGGTGACCAGGTAAGGGAATGGAGATGTCTCACTCTCTTTCCTCAGGGGCTCCAACTACAGGAATAACTCTATACATCTCCCCCACTCATATCCTGGTGAGCTCTAGCTCAGACTCAAGGCAGAAGGATCTATACAGTATATATATATTTCACTATGAAACAGTAATTTCAATCCCTGTCTTCTACTTTGGAGCATCGTGAATCAGACACTTCTTTTTAAGTCATGGGGTGATGACTATCTCTGGGCATCTCAGCAGCAATTTCCTTCCTGTGAGTGGGCAGGAGTGTTACCAGCAGCAACACAGACTCCTCAGCAGGAGCACGGGAGCCCAAGAGAAATGTGCCCCATTTCCATTGGACCTTGGACTAAGAGGACATGGCCCAGCCCTGGCCCTCTGATGTATTGTGTGGGTTCTAACATGGTTGATCAGTGCATGTTGATTGCCTTATTGTACATTCCTGTCATTAGCTATGCTATGCAAAGCAGATGACTACATCCTTGTCCATCTCATGTACAACTATGTGCATCTACATGAGTACTGGCCAAAAGCAAGGGGAGAGGGAGAGGAGGGGAGGAGTAACACACAGAGCTGTAATAGGAAGGGCCACTTGCCTACAGCACAGTGACACCCCTTATAAGACAGTAATGACTGTCAATCCACACAGGATGCCTTGGGACTCTGGCAAGAAGATGGCAAGAAGGGCTACAGCAAGTCAAGCATACAGTCTGCCAAATCTCAGTCAATCCACCGCTGAGTGGTCAATTTTAAGAGGCTGGGTTGTTGATAGGAAGCCCGCATAACTGGAATCAGTGCAGAGCCAGATGATTCAGGAGATAAAGGGAAGAATGATCCTATTAAAGACAAGAGAACAGCTGTCTGAAAACCATGGAAGGGACAGGACAGACATTGTGCTTACAGTCTAAGACGCCGGGGCTTTGCGCATTTGAGCCAGTGGGAGGAGAATGGGGAGTTTGCTATTCTGATTTCCAGACCCTGTGTAACTGGGGGGGCAGTCTCAAATGCTCAGGGACCAGCTGAGGGTGCTCTAAAAGCTCAAGGAAAGGGGTCACCTGCAGCAGCAGCAGATTGCTTTTAACAACATTCACTGGGCTCAAATAAATTACATCACATTAACTCTCGGGGGGGGGGGGGGGAAGGAAATCAGGGCCTTAAGTCAATAGGCATTCTGCCATCAACTGTAGCAGGAGCAAAGTCAAAAACAAAAGAGGCAAGATTATTAAATAGTTGCCAGTTTACAGCCCTGCACAGAGGGATCCCAGGGTGCAGCTCTCTCAGAAGCTGGGCTCTAGCCGTTTCCAAGAGGCTGAATTGTATGCTGAGCCGCACAGTCTATGTTGCAGTGACCCTTGCTTTAGGCATCTTGCCTCATATGCCCCAGACGCTTCAGTGGAGCGATTATGCCACTGACTTGTTGCAGTGCAGTGCTCCAGAGAGAAGGTAAACCCCATTCTCACAGCTCCCTACCTCTCGCTTTGCTGTCACCATCTGACTGTGTCACGTTGCCCGGCTGTATTCAATACCACTCTTTGCGGAAATGCCAGACCATGGCAGCAGGCTGCGGAGGAGACTCTGGGCTTGGCGGTATATCCGGTGAGGAATCGAACATGGGCTCAGGCTGGCGAGCGTTGAGCCAATGTGCTGTAGGTAGTCAGTGAGCCTCAGTTAAGGAGAACAGGGACATTTACAGTGAAATGTAAGAAACAACCTAAAACACTGTATTGACAGCAGCCCGTAGGACAGTAATAGGCAATGAGAGCTAAGCCATGCAAAGCAGCACTGGCCAGCTACCTGCCCTTCATATCTAACTGCTCAGGTACAAATAAGCAGGTCTGTACTGCACAGTAAGAGGAGGACACTTGGGGAACATTCCTTGTAATTTGCCCAGGAAATGCTTTAGCTGAATAACCACTAGTGTCCCTTTCACTCCACAGCACTCCAGCTGCTGGAGCCATGGCCCGTCTGACAGCAGAGACATTTTGATTGCTCAGATACAACCACGTTACCATAAAGAGTTAGGGAGAAGGGACTTCTTTATGCTCCACCGAGACTGACTGACCTGAAGTATATCCTATAATTTAGTTTGTCATCTCTGTTCTGTACCCACTCTGCCTCCCTCAGGAGAGTGTGGATCCTTAGAGCCGTTCAGAAGTGTGGAGTAAGATAGGTCACTGAATAGCATGCGTCCAGCTGCATTTGGAGCCCACCACACCATTAGCGTTGGGAAGGCTCCACTCTGCATGACCTACAATGGTTAGCAAGTTTCTGATATACCCAACAAAAGGGCAGACATTGCCTGACTTCTCTGGTCAGGAGGAAAAGAGCTCACTAGCCCTTCATTTCTGAGATTTGACTTCAAGTCCCCAGACATGTCAGCAGTGAAACCATTTGGAAGGCACCGGGTGGAAGCCACCACACAATGGAGCAGTCTCTGCTCAAGCGGAAGCCAAGACCGGATCAGAAGATGATGCTGTAGGTTGGGATTAAGGCTTTGGATACTAAGTGTTGCTAGCACAGCTGTGTCAGCTAGGAGCGTGTGGGATGGGAAATCACATCCCCTAGCCAGCACAGCAATGTTGGCAACCCCCCAGTGTAGACACAACTATGCTGACTGAAGGGTGCTTCTGCTCCCCGAACATCATTAGCTATGCTGACAGAACAACTGTTGGTTTGTGCTCCATCTCCACCAGGGGGCTCTGCTGACATAGCTATGCCAGCAAAGCCTAGGTACTGTACAAAGGAGTACTTGTGGCACCTTAGAGGTTAACAAATTTATTAGAGCATAAGCTTTCGTGAATTTGTTAACCTCTAAGGTGCCACAAGTACTCCTTTTCTTTTTGCGGATACAGACTAACACAGCTGCTACTCTGAAATCTATGTACTGTACAGGAGTCCTTAGATACATTGACAGAGCCATGTGGGGAGCCCAGGACTGGAATAGCAGGGCAGGAACTGCAGGTCTTGCCTCAGGTGCAATCAGCAGAGCTGTGCTGAGGGAGTTTTGCACAGTGCCCATCCACACCACACCTAGTCCTAGCTAAACAGTTGCATTACCATCAGTCACCCAATGTAGACAAGATATACATCTCTAACCTCACAAGAGACATGTACTGTTCTACTGAATGGATCCCACAGCACCCTTGAGGAAGTCCAGCACAAACATGCCAGAGACAAATCCAAATCTCTTCTGGAAAGCAAGGAATCCAGTTCAGTGAAGCCTACCCTTAAATTGGGATGAGTCACCAAATGAAAAAAACAGACTTGCTTTGCAGGATTTGTTTTACTCCAAATACCATGTGTCTGGTTATCTCGCTCTGCAGCTAATCAAATCCAAGGTAAAGGATATAAGATTGTCCAAGGAGGATGTCCGCCATTGATGTATAGAACGTAGGTGAAGCCGTCTTTGAGGACCCCTCTGATAGAATAATAATAGGGCAGGTAGTGGTGCTGTCTAAAGTCTCTATTTTCATAGAAGTTAATTGCTGTATTGTTGGTGGTGAGGACATGCAAGTAGATGGCTTTACAGTGGTCTTGGGCAGTTGTCGATATATGATCCTTCAAGCTTTCAAGTAAGAGGGAACCTATCAAAGGAAGGAAGAACAGCATTACACAGAGCAGCAGCGCTCTCACTGGGACAGGGTGGAGAGTGCAGCCAAGCCTCTGCACGCGCCATCACTGCCTCTGAACAAAGCTCCTAGATTAAGTTCCCTGTAAGCTGCGTGGCCACGCAGCAGGCTCTCAAGGGCCGTGCAGGTAGGCGGGGAGAGGCGCCCCTCCCCCAGCCCCATGCTCCTGAGGCCACAGCCCTCACCCCCTGCACACCAACCCTCAGCCCCACCTCCAAGCCCCCTCCCACACTCTGAACCCCTTGGCCCTTCCTCCACCACACATCAACTCCATATTGGTGTACATAAGAAAATTCATTCTGCACATGGATGTAAAAAAATTAGAGGGAACACTGCTCCTAGATCTTTCCTCATTCACCCTTTTCAGAACAGCCAGCAGAACCTGGGTTGGGTGGTCTTAATAGGCTCCTTCCTCTCTACAATACTGGGCTTCAGAAAACTCAAGGCTGTATAGGGTGGGAGCGGTCCCTCCTAAAAGCCATTGATTGGTGGGAGTCTGCAGGGCTGGATTTAGACTGTAACAAGGTTTACACATGCAGCTGTGGCCCCCACAGTTATGAGCATTCCAGGCACAAGGACTTACCAGCAATAGCCCACTGCCAGCCAAACAGCTACTCCCATTGGGCTGGCAAGGTGGTTGCTGGAACCATTTAGTTTTAGAATGGCTGACCTGTCACCTTGACTGGCAGCAGCTAGGTCACAGGAGTACATTCAGTGTTCTAGAGAGACAAGGCGGGTGATGTGATATCTTTTATTGGACTAATTTCTGCTGGTGGAAGGGACAAGCTCTTGAGCTACACAGAGCTCTTCTTCAGGTCTGAACACTCAGTGTTTTAAAGTCATTTTGAAATTGTAAAGAGCAAAATGCAACTGACAAACAGGTCACATGCACTTGTCTTGCTAAACTCTAATTAAAAGATAAGGGAGGGCTTTAGCTCTCCATCAGCTCCTGGGAGTTTGGCTCCAGCCATCTAGAATCTTTCATCTGGCACTTGTCAGTGAAGGGGCACAGTGCATGCACTTGGCCTTGGGAGACTAGGTCTGGAGGTTCATCTGAGCAGTCAGTACCGTGTGGTGGACCCAGCTTTATGTGTCTTCACACACGCCTCTAATGTTGAATATCTAGCCTCACACACTAAGAGACTCCTTTGACCTGAAGTGGCTTCTACTGGTTCTGTACCCCTAAATGCCCCAAGTCTCATATGAACAGCCCAGGATATAGTCAAGGGGCACAGCTTCCATGCATGACTTCCAGTGTGAATCTGGGATGGCCACATTACAATAACTGAACAAAACACATTTGCCCAAGTTAAGCTATTGTTAACTTCTCCCAGTAGAGGTACCACTGGGCAATGGTAAAGACATGATTCACTAGCAGACGTCCTAACACATGAACCTCATTTGTGCTACGGTTTTACAATCCATGTGTAAAGAACCACATAGTGAATGGGATTTTTCAGAAGTGCCCAAGTAGTTTAGGAGCACAAGTCTCATTGAAAGTCAGGAGTTGTACCCCTACGCCATGTAGGTGCTTTTGAAAATCCCTACCCAGTACATAACGTTACCCCCTCTGCCTAAGTACAAGGCCAGCTAAGGAGGCTGATATAAAACAAGAGGTCTCTTCTGGTCCTAAACAACAGGTCATCCAGTCCAGCCCCTGGCACTGAGGTAGAATTAAAACAAACTAGATATCAGCAATACAGAACCTGGTTTTGGGAATTCAATGTGGAAGAGTATTTAAATATAGAAGCTGCATGGTAATTTCTCTCCTGTGTACCTGGAAAGATAAGTACTGCATTGCTAAGATTTTGCACACTTTCCCACCCATCCCAGGAAATCTAAATGAGTAATAAAATAAGAGCAGTTTAATTCTCAACAGTTTATTGCACTTTTCTGTATCCCACACTCCATCCCGTTCCTTTCTAGGTGCGGGAGAAGAAAGAACCAGAAACGGAAGCCATGTAGAATCTGCTACAGAAATCAGAGCTACAATAAAGGTGGAAAATGCCTGGAGCAAAAAGTCTCCTGCATGAAAGGTTTTGCTCTTACAATCATAGAATATATCAGGGTTGGAAGGGACCTCAGGAGGTCAACTAGACCAACCCCCTGCTCAAAGCAGGACAAGTCCCCAATTTTTGCCCCAGATCCCTAAATGGTCCCCTCAAAAGGACTGAGCTCACAACCCTGGGTTTAGCAGGCCAATGCTCAAACCACTGAGCTATCCCTCCCCCTTCCTCTTGAGTGGAAATGGAAGAGCTCTTGGATAAGAAAAGAAGGGCTCTCAAAACATCAATCCCTCAAACGTCGTTATGTAGTTCTGGAACATTTCAATGTACTAGTCTGTAATAGCTATCTAATCCTGAACGCTGATCCAAGGCGATGGATGGACTTTAGAGAGGGTCTTTCAGAAAAATGTGTTCCTAAATTCTGTCCCAATTTAATAAGTGCAAGAAATGTTGACTTTAACGGAGAAACTCCAGCAAGATGCACCAACCAGCTGGGGCATCTGAAGGTGACTCAGAGACCTCCTTATGAAAACAGGATATCCCTCCCTTTACCAACTTCCCTGAATTCCGTTCTCCGGATAACCTAGAGTTTGTCCCAAGACAGTGCTTGAACCAAGGCTTCAGTTTGGTGCTCTCCCACACAGACACAACCCAGATCATTTCTATGGCATATCATATCAGCCTGGGTCTGCAGATGTGAGCACTCAGGGGAGGACAATTATAATCCTATCTACTGTGACAAAGTTCCTCCTCTACCTTGGTAGGTCTTGCGCTTATTGGCGGATTTGCTCACCTCAGAGATTCACGGCAGCCCTCAGTTTGGCGGTTTTCGTGAACCCATAGTCCAGGTCAACTCCTTTTGTGTCTGATCAGGAGTTGGCCCGCCCTCTACTCCGGGTTCCAGCCCAGGGCCTGTGAAATGCAGCTGTCTAGAGTGCCTCCTGGAACAGCTGTGTGACAGCTACAACTCCCTGGGCTACTTTCCCATGGCCTCCTCTCAACACCTTCTTTATCCTCAACATAAGACCTTCCTCCTGGAGTCTGATAATGCTTGTACTCCTCAGTTCTCCAGCAGTATGCCTTCTCGCTCTCAGCTCCTAGTGCCTCTTGCTCCCAGCTCCTCACACGCACCCCTCACTAACTGGAGTGACAGCCTTTTTAAACCAAGTGTCCTGATTAGCCTTAATTAATTCTAGCAGCTTCCCAATTGGCTACAGGTGTCCTAATTAGCCTGCCTGCCTTAATTAGTTCTAGAAAGTTCCTGAGTGTTCTGGAATAGTCCCTGTTATCTTACCCAGGGAAAAGGGACCTGCTTAAGCTGGAACTAACGTATCTACCTTCGACCACTCTCTTGTAGCCATCTGGCCTGACCCTGTCACACTACTGAACAGGTCAAATAAATCAAGTCAAGTCTAACATGGTCCCAGCTGCACGACACCTTAACGTGGTCACTGCTTTCAGACTTGGCATGGGTCCCAGCTGCTAGTGTCTGAATGGCACATTTCTTTCTATGAATTGGATGCTTAAGGACAAGGATGGTACATGCTCTCAAACCAGAAAACCGTACTAACCTGTTCTGTAAGTGCTGTTCGAGATGCGTTGCACATCTCCACTCCACTCTTGATGTGCGTCCCCCATGCACAGTTGTCAGAAATTTTTCCCTCAGCAATACCCATCAAGGAGGCATGAGTGCCCTCTGTTGCCATGCATCACTGCACAAAGGTATAAACCGTGGAGCCGACCACAAACCCCATCAGTTCCTTCTTGCTGGAAAAGTCTGATGCAGAGGGATGGGAGGGCGGGATGTAGAATGGACATGTAGAACATCTCAAAAGAGCAATAGTTATGGAACAGGTGACAGTTTTTTCTTTTAGCAATTGACCATGTGAATACTCTTGGTGGCTCACAACTCAGGAAATCAGGAGGGCAGATTAGAGAGTCTATCTGAACAAGCACTGGAGGACAACTCACCCAAATATGGCAGAATGCTGAGTGATGGCATAATGGGATGCAAACATGTGCATTGAAGACCATGTTGCCACCCTACAAATGCTTGGAACTTGAACAAGGAAGGTCACAGAGAATGCTTGCAATCTTGTCAAATATGCCATCACTCCATTTGGCAGCATGTCAGCCAAGTCACAGCACAAGCAAATACAGGAGGCTAAATGAGACAAAATCCACTGAGAAGAGAGTGGGAGGCTCTTCATCCTGTCTGTGACCACCACAAACAGCTGGAAGACAAATGGAACTGCTTGGATCTGCTGAGTTAGAATGCCGACACTCTCCTGACATCCAGAGTGTGCAGCTGTTCCCCATCTTTATTCAAGAGGGACTTCGAGGAGAAGGAAGGCAGGTAAATCACTTGGTTGACGTGGAAGTTAGAAACTCAATTTTGACTCAAACTTCGGATGAGGACGTGGGTAAACTGTCTTAAGGCTTAAAAGGAGCCCCATAAGTTTTGACAACACCAAGTTTAAGTCCCACAGAGAAACAGGATCTTGTACCTGAGGATACAACTGTTCCAGGCCATTCTTTTTTTCTAAAAAGATGTCAATAAGATTTTTGAAAGTGATCACCAACTTGACAGGGGAAAGGAGAGCGAGCTGCTAGGTGGACTGTGATAGAATTCAACAGTCAACTCTTGCTGTTTTAGGTACAGATACGCCAAGATATGCTGGATTCGGCCAAATTCTAGATTGTCAATACCAGACAGAGAAACGGTTCCACTTCGAGAGGTAACTAGATCTAGTAGGTGGTTTCCTACTATTTAAAAGCACATCCTGAACCTCTTTTGAGTACTACTCCTCCCTAGAGTCTAACCATGGGCCATCAAGTTGTTAAATGAAGTGCCTGCAGGTTTGGGTGGAGCAGGGGACCATGATCTTGAGATACTAGCTCTGGGGCCAATGGAAGTGATATCAGAGCTTCCACTGAAAGGGATAGGAG